GCCTTCTCTCTCAGTTCACCTCCCAGGAAGCCCTGTGTGAGCCTGCTGCCACTGCCCCGTTTTCAGATATTTGGTCGTCCCTTTTGAAGCCTTCACACTGGGAAAAGAGAAACGGATGCTCAGTATTCTTTTTACTTAGTTAACCGAATTCACCTGGGTGGGTCCTTTGTAGTTCCTGCAGATCACTCCAAGATCATCTTCAGGCCAGACTCAGCATTTGGTCTCATCCCTCAGTCACCCTCCTCCAAAACAAACAAACAAACAAACAAACCCAAGTCTAGAAACAGTCTCGAATAAAGCAAAGTTCACTGACTTTTTTGGGGGGGAGGGGGGAAGTTAGGCAATTTCCTCATAACACAGTAAAATTTCCCTAAAAATACATGTATACACTTCCGCTCTTTCTTCAAAATCTCTCTCCTAGCAGCTGTTTCATCCCGTTTTCTGCCCAAATTGCCTGCTGGGGCCTCTTGTGCCTGACATTGTTTTCTTCTTCCTTAGCTGGCACACGCCACGCAGTAAAAAGGAAGTTGGGTTGTCAGCCAAATTTGAACCACCTCATCTTTTCAGGCATGTCTCCAAGGCCCATAGTTCAATTGAATTGAATTGAATGGTCACTGGACGCTAGATTAAATTTATTTTCTGTTTAGTGTCCTAAGCAACACAGACATGAAAACTAGTATAGGATTTGTTCATAACATAGGGCCATGAGGATGAATCTTTTACTCAACGTCTTGTTAGATCTAACCACTCTTGGGAGCCAAAAATAGGGTAGTGCGGAGAGTGGGATGGATGTGAGGCTTGTCAGCATGTGGTTCAGCTGGACCACTGAGTCATGTGGGCTGTGAAAGCTCCTCTCCCAGAAGGTGGCAGCATGGAGCGTAGGGTGTCTGAGGCACCAAGACAGGAGCACAAATGGAGGCCTACAAATCATATGTCTAAATATTATGAAGTTATAAATTAAGCTAACGAATCATTAAATAAAATGTGTTATGTCCTCCTACCTTGACAAAAATACCTTCAGGACAACCTGGAAGTCCAGGTTTGAATTTAGAATTCTTGAACTCCTTAGAGTTCCCTGCTAGAACATGCCAACATGGGGAGAGCCAGCCCACACCTCAGCCCTCTTCCTGCTTCCTGTTCTGTCTCTCTTCTTAGCAGGTACCCCTTGCATGCCCATATGGACTCCCCGGCTCATATATCCCATTTCTTCCCTGCCCCCTGACACCCACTCTTAGTTGACTTCTTAAACGGGGGAGTACAAATATCAGCATTAGGGTCACCCTTAGTAGAACTTATCTGGATAATGCTTGCTCTGGGCCTGGAAGCAAGCTTGGGGATGTTTGGGCAGAGAATTCTGGGGTCCCATGCATTGTCCAAAATGATAAGGTGCCAAATAGTCCACTCCTAACTCGTAATCTTTGTAGGTCCTCTCCTGGATGATTTGGAGGAAATTCAAGATCAAGATCACTGTTTATTAATGCCAATGCTGCTAGGAGTCAGGGGGTTGGATTTCATTACTGCTAAAGGTTATTATGCAACCTCGATCTCCTTTGCTGAACAGGGTGTTGGGGGAGCTCAGTGAACCATGGTCCACCCTTCGCCTTTTCATGCCCTTTGGCCAGCTTCTGACATGCAGCAAAGTGCCCTTCTGTTTCCTTATAGCTTTCTGCACTGTCGGGGAAAAGGACCAAGGGGAAGATCTTTAAAGGCAGAGCACATCAGAAGGAAATTTTACTTTCCCTGATTTGGTCACAAATAACCTTTCCTGATTCCTAGGCTGGGAAGCTGGGCGTGGTGGAGGAGGGGTATGAAGAAAGTATTTGAAGATGTCTAAGGACTAGAGAAGAGCCACCATGCATTCTATCTCCGCACCTGCAGTTCAGGTACAGTCAGTTCTGCCGAGAGACAGGGAGATGAACTATATTACCTCAAAGCCTTTTGACCCTTGTCCGATGGTGTGAGCCCAACCATGAGGCAGGCAGGGCAGCTCTGTAGGCTATGAGTTCAGAACAGAACCAGAAGGGACGTGGGAGGGCCTAGAAGCTGAGCGTGGTGTCCTGGGCAGGATATGCTGTTGCAGTCTCTTCTATCCCCCTGACTCAGGCTGGGAGGGAGATGGGTGTGCTCTGAAACCGGGGAGGGTATCAAGCCTCTTGTTTCCATCTTCGCTACCAGGCTCCAAAAGTCTCTGCCTTAAAGGCTGCTAGCTCTATATGACCTCAGCCAGTAATAGTGTACTGGACACAGAAATTCCAGAGGAAGGTTCATATGCACACGCCATAGGGCCTTACATCAAGGCCTGCCTACCCTGCCATAGAAAATGTTTTTGGGTGTTACAGTTGGTGAGTCATCACAGAGAGTACCTAATACCTGACTTTTCTCTAAAGAATATTCCTCTCATCCCCATCAAGAACACACTGAGAAGTAAATATACTATCCTGGTTTTGAGTTAAATGTCATTAACTTGATACTTGCTCTGCTGCTTGCATTTTCACTTCAAAAGTAGAAAGTCACTGGGAAATGCCATTGGAGTTTAGAAAGAGAAATGCTATAACTCCTGAATATTATGGGTTGAATAAAATGGAGCCCAGGAGGCCAGGTTTGCATCGAGTTGTCATAGTATCATCCTTAGTTCACTCTATCCCTTACACAGCGGAGACCCTGCAGTGTTTTCATTAGTGAGAGAGGAAACAATGTAGGGTGGGGGAAGGGCTAAGGGAGGGGATATGCAGCATTCCATTGATAGTAACAGGAAATAATTACGAAGCGTTGAGGAAGTTATTCTAGGGCCTTCGTACTGGAGTCTAACCTCTAACATCCACTCTGCTTCTACGTATGCCCAACATGACCCGTGGGAGAAGATCCCGCAGATAACCATCTTACCCTGAGAAATCAAATGCAAGTTCTGTAGAATCTTTCTTTCTAAGACTTCAAACTTGAATTCTGTGACATCGCAGAAAGTCACAAAACACAAGTCAACCCCTAGTTTGGGTTTTATAAGAAGATAAATTGACATCCATGCAAGACTGCCTGATAAAACATAAGACCCTTTATTTTTATTTACTAAATCTGGCAACGCTACATCCGTGAGTCCCCAAACCTTCCATCTTCTTTGATTTCTTGAATAACTAAAGTTCCTTTAATGTATGGGACTGAACACCCAAGGATATCTGAGGTCTTAGAGAGATGTCACATGGGGCCATACAGAAAATTAAAAAACAAACGAACAAAACAAAAAAACCTCCCATTGAAAAGTAGAGTGTCTCTTTCAGTAGACTTTTCCCATTGGGTGGATTTGGGAGTCTTCTTTCAAAGTCATACACTTCTATGTCAGATATCTGTTTTAATAGCCAATCAAAAAAGACAAACTCTTAAAACCAATAGGTGATAAAACCCACTCTGAGCACTCACTGTTTGCTAAGCATTGCATTAGGTGCTTTATGCATATTATCTTGTTTTATCCTCACTATATCCTTAAAGATAACTATTTTTTTATCTTCAATGTAAAGATGAGGAATCTGAAACTTAGAGATGTTATAAAATTTGTTCCAGGTCACTTACATGATAAATGGAAGGGCCAGGATGGTGGCGATGACGATGATGGTGGTGGTAATGATGAAGACAGCTAACAATTGTCGAGAAGGAATCTGAAACTTAGAGATGTTATAAAATTTGTTTAGGTCACTTACATGGTAAATGGAAGGGCCAGGATGGTGGCGATGACAATGATGGTGGTGGTAATGATGAAGACAACTAACAATTGTCGAGCATATCTTTTGTGCCAGCCAATGTGCAGAGTGTGCTACGTTCATTAACTCATTCGATTATCACACCGTCTTTTCTGGTTAGTACTCTCATTAGCTCCATTTGAAAGAGGAGGAAACTCATTCACTCTTGGTCAGCTGACTTCAAAGCACTGACTACTATTAACCAGCACTGCTTCTGATCTCGTCTCTCCGCCCACTGGTTCTGGGCATCCCACTCCTAGCCCTTCTATTGTAGATTGCTGAGCACATTTGTAAATCCAGCTGCCTCCTAAAATATTAACCTTGGACCTGGCTTATTTGTTTTTGGAAGGTGATACATGGTAAACCCTTAGCAGGCCGATGTCTGGTTGACCTGAGTCCCTACTTTAAGTCTGGCAAATTTTGTGTTTTCAGGTCTTGAAAATATACTTCTTACAAGTTTTATGCAATTTACTCCCAGGAGCTGACACATAGCCAGAAAAATAGCACGAGCTAAAACTTTCTCAATCTTACCTCCAAGAAGCACTTGGTTTTTGCTGAGCTCAGTCTTGGAGAAACTTCCAGCCAGTCAAAGAGACAAGTCTGGCCTCCCACTGATATGACAAATATGTTTTCTGTCCAATGGTGCTGATGCCACAGATCCTCTTTAGTAACTACCAGAGTGCCTGGCACATAATAAGCACCCCCTAAATATCTGATCAATGTTAACTGAATGCGTACGAAGGACCTTGAGTGCCAAGAGTCCTTGCTGGGATCCTCCTATAAGCACAACCCTTCCCTGCCTGGAGTCTGTGTGCAAAGGCAAGCCCTGGGACAGTGGTCATAATGTGATCCCTGGAGCCGGGTGAGTGGACTGTTAACCAGATTAATATGTGTGCAATCAGTGGCAGTGGGGAAAGAAGGTTTCACATGTGAGGGAGAGAAGTCATTTTATTTGGGCTCCTGTAGCATTATTGTTGACTTTCCTTTATTTCACGTGATTTCTCTGATGACTGTACATAAACAGATACTGCCAAGTTGGATTCTCTGACTTTTGTGGTAGAGACTAAACTTGCATAAACCCTTGTGGGCATCCTCTGGGGAATGAGGCTACTTTGTGGAGTTCCTTGGCAGGAGCCCTAGATAAGAGATGCTTTTCTAGTTTCAAGCCGTAGCATGTGATGGTGGTTTTGGAGCTGAAAATGAGAATGAAATGGTAAATTTAGTTAGTAAACATTTTGTTACTAACATTTTGTCTCCAATAAGAGTTATTATTACAGTTTCTGCTGGCTTAAGACAGTGAAGGTCCAAAAAGCCAGCATAACTGAGACTTCAACCCTATAAGATCATCAGATTTGTCCAGACATTTGGACATTATTCTATTGATATTGTATAATTATTTTTATGTCAGGTTGCTAAGGTATTGTCTGGGTTTTGTGCTTCTATCTAGCTATTGTCCATCATTATTTTTTTTGCTTATACTTTCAAGCCTTTATCAATTACAAGTGAGCCAATTAAAGCAGAAACCCTTGATGTAAGGATATAAAGCACCATCACACAGTATTTGACCTCTGAAAGGCTCCGAGGGCAAAAAGGTGAGTTAATCAGCAAAAACTCACTGTTAGAGTCTGTAAAAGAGTGTATCATTGAAACTTATTAATGCTGCTACAAATGAGTTGATCTTCCCCGATACATTCACTCCCCTGATCCTCCTGAAATCCATCCTGACAATCTGTTTCTGCAGCTAGTGACGGAGACACAAATGCTGGCTATCGAGACTTTCCAGATTGCTTTCAACATTCCAAATGCCAAACCGTCAGAGTTTTTAAAATTACTTTTGATTTGCCAAATACCACAACATCAGGACATGTAGATTAGGAGATGCCAGTTACAAGACATTTCTGTGTGTGCTTTTTTTTTTTTTTGCCTTGTTGTTTTCTGTGGGCTCATTGGTGGTATTTTTTGACTGTTCAGTCCAAGAGAAAGAAAATGCACTAGAGACATGGACATAGTCTTAACCATGGCATCATCTAGAAGTTATAAACCCTGAGGCTGAAAAGCAGCATTTGAAGTGATTCTACAGCATTGCCTTTGGATAATTAGGTCTGGCTTTCCAGTTACTTCCTGAACACTTGCAGATATATGAGCGATTGGTTATGTTAGGTGGGGGCTACTTTGGAGTCATCTGCATCAGAAGAAAAGTCTAAACCTCAGTAGAGAGGATTTTATTTTAGTCACATAAGTAACCATGCAATGATAATATGGGGTGTAAATGTTTTCATGGGGGAAACAACACATGGGAGGGACTCTGGCTAAGTTAGGGTTAGGTTTGGCTGCATGTGACCAAAACTCCAAAATAACAGTGCCTCACATGGGGTGGAAGTTTATTTCTCTCACATAGATAAAAGCAGGAGGTAGGCAGTACAGAATGTACAGTAGCTCCATGAAGTCATTAGGAAACAAACCCAATCTCTTTTCGGTTCAAGATTCTACCATCCCTATGGTGTGGCCTGTGCCTTTATGTCCAGCTTGGTAGCTAGAAAGTTGGTCATCATATTCAAATGGAGGGAGAAAGGCACGTCCTTTCCCTAGAGGATCACATCCCAGAAGTTGCAAACATTTCCACCTTCATATCATTGGACAAAACTTAGCCAAATGGCCACACCCAGCTACAAAAGATGCTGGGAAATGTAGTCCTTATCCCAAGTGCGATATGCTCAGCTTAAAAATTAAGGGTTCTGGTACAGGGAAGAAAGGAGAGAATGGATATTAGATGTCTGCCATAGACACTGATCATCAGTGGCCATGCATGTCAGAAAAGGCCTCTTGAAGAGTGTGAGCACAGAATGAAATATGATTAAGGACTCGTCCAGATGAAAAGGATGTAGGGGAGTAAGCAGGGGAGTGGCAGTACATGTGAGGACATAAAAGAGACTAAGTATGTCATGTTGGAGGAATTGAAAAGTGCTCCTTCTGGTTGGATTATAGAATGGAGGCAGAGAATTCACTCCCTAGATGAAGCTCGTTAGGGTCCTCATTCTCCAATCATGTTCTCAGGGATCTGGCTCTCTCCTTTGTCTCCCGCTTCATCCGATCTTCTAAGTTTAAAGTGAATGGCCAATCTCTCCAGGGCAGGAAAGGGAAGAGCAAATAGAATACCATCTCCGTGTTAAGAAGGCCTCCTACTTTTTTCTCAAAATAAGAGGGAGTACGTTTCTTCATCCAGAGTGAAAAACAAAGCATCTTAGTATTGGAAAGGCCCCAGGGTGGGTTAAGGGAGAGGGAAAGCATCTCCCTTAACCCAAGAGGTTCCTACTACCCCTTGGAGATAACCAACCTCCTTCTATTAATATGGCAACCATTACAGGTGGGGATCTGTGAACCAGGAGACCAGGGGTCACTGGGAGATACAAAGGCATCTTCCAAGTCAGCTTGTCCAAGACTGCCACATGCTCCCCCAGCCCCACCAATTCATTCATTTTCCAGTATCCCCTGTCTCCATGAGTGTACCTTCATACAGCCCAGTGCTCAAGTGAGAAACTACATTAGCAGAGCATCTTCATTTCCTTCACCCCTCACATCCAACCACTCAGATGCCTCAATAGCTCTCACATCTGCCTTCTCCTCTCCATCTCCACTGCCCCATGCTAGTCCAAGCTACTACCTCCTCTCCTGACTTACAACAGTGTTTGTCCGTCTGGTTCCCCTGCACCCACTCAGACCCCTCTACTACCTGATCATGCCACAGCTAGTGTCATCATTCCACAGCACAAGATGGTCATGAGCCCTCTCTCTGGCCACTTACAACCCTAAGGGGCTTTCTCTCCGTGGCCCACACAGCGCTAAAGCATCGGGTCCATACCTCTCCTGCTTTATCACGTCGCATTCCCTCCCATTCTCCCTCCAGCCCAGCCATCTAGGTCAACTTTCAGCTCCGACGACATTATACTCCCTTCTGTCGCGGGGCTTTCCTGCAAGCCGCAGGGCTCCTCCCTTCTCCCTGTGAACGCTGGTTGTTTTCCTCTTCTCAGCTCTCATTGCTTTCTCAGAGAAGTCGTTCCTAAACTCCCAGTCTGCTAAGCACGCTCCTCTCGCATTTCTTGTGTTTCTTTTCTTTTGTATCCTTGCTGCTTTGTGATTTCACATCCACTGGCCATTTGACTCACATCTCCCTTGCTACATCACCCACAGGAGTCCGTGGGTTCCCCGTGCTCTAGAACCAGAAGCACAGGCATAATCTCAGGACAAGGAAAGTGGGACTCACAACGGTGCCCTGTGTTACTGGCCAAATGTAGTGTGATAAAGTATCTGGTTCCTTTTATTATGAAACCCTGAAACTGGGAAAATTTCCTCTGATTTTACCTTTTCGTTAGATAATTTACTATGTCTCCCAATTTGTAGCCACAGTGAAAAATGGAAATACTTGGAAGGCACTAGTGGGAATTTAATATTTTAAAGACAGAGTAAACCTCAAAAACCTAAAGAAGCATGCATATTTTCAGAAAGACACACAAGAAAGGACTTCAGACCAATTTCCCATCTTAACCCATAACCCTAATGAAACAATGAAAGAGTCTGTGCTGGGGTCTTTTGGGTCAATGGATGCTGTTCCCAGAGGTGGGCTCAGATATCGGGGCTCCTCATTCTCCTGGCAGGTTTCTGTTTTTAAGGTTCACAGTGTCAAAATGTAACCAAGGAATTTTTAATCGTTGATCCAGCCAAAGGGCTACAAAGGTTTCAGATTAGCTCTGGAAACGTGTCCTCTTTGCATATTTAGAGGGAAAATAATCCTTTCTAATATTTCCAGGTAAGAGGAATATTTTAAGTTGAGATCCTAAATGGATATTATTTTATATTAATTTTGCTATTGCTTTATACTAATATAAATTAATAACCCCAAATTTCTCTCCTGTGAGTGTGAGTTAGGATGGTGTTACTTCAATGTCCCTTAATTGTTTTGCGACCCAGAGCATTTCTGCTCCAGCTCCAGCAGGGATTCGAAGGTCGAGGGTCTCAGGAGAGTTGCCTATGGAGAGGCACCTGTGGGAAGAAGAGTTTGCTTGCATTCTTCTGTCTCCCACATTCTCACTTGGGAACAAACATCATACCCATTACACTCACCAGAGGTTACAAACTGGCAGCCTACAAACAAATTAGTCCTTTAGATATATTTTGTTTGGCTAGAAGGATGTTTCATTTTAAGTTGTTATTTTATTTTTTACCATTTGAAAATGGTAAATGTATTTGAATGCTTTTTTGGCAGGTAACGTCTGCTTCTGTTGAAATACATGTCATCTCTCTGGCTCCTGGGAATACTGAGTTGGAGACCCCCACATGGCTATGCCATATGCAGGGGGTTTGACTACATAGGGACCTGTCATGTGTGGGACATGTGATCTTGGATTAAACGAATGTATCGGTGACAATTAGAGGTCACAGACATAGGATCTCCAGGGGAGATGCCAGAGCTCTTTCTCCAGGCACATACAGAGGAAAGAGGAAAGGCCATGTGAGGACATAGCAAGAGGACTGCTGATGTGTAAGCAGAGGAAAGAGGCCTTACCAGAACCCAACCCTTTCTGGCACCTTGATCTTGGACTTCTGGCCTCCACAACTGTGAGAAATAAATGTCTGTTCTTTAAGCCCACTCCATCTGTGATATTTTGTTATGTCAGCCTGAGCAGGCTGATACTATCTTTCTTTGCCCTGGCGACTCTAGCTTATTTTATGGAAAGGTATCTCTGATTTGAGAGCATCATCTAGGATCTTCTTTCAGTTCAGGCAATGGAGATCTGGTTAGAGTTTTAAAGATATTTCAAAAAAAGAAAAGAGTGAATTACCATGTATGGCACACAGGGAGGTGATTAGTTTCATGTTTAAACATTTTACATAGTAAATTTCCTCCAGATCTTAAAAAAATGTTTTCTTCAATGTCTTCAAGACTCAATGTCAAAGAATTAATGGGGATTGAATCGTTTCTAAACCACAAACAAACAAACAAAGAAGCAAACTCATTAATTCTTGGGGCTGGAGAGGAATGGGAAGACACATTCATTCGAGAGCCTAAACTGGAAAGGGAAGACCCACTGAGAAGAGAAAATGGGAGGAAAGATCCCTCTCCTCATTCTGGTAATGTGAGGTCCACAGTCCTTATTTCTTCTCACCTCAGAGCGCAGGGGTTTCTTAGGTAGAAGGGGCTGTTATGATATTATGTACTAATAGTTCAATGAGAACGTTCCTTCTCCCAGAATTTTATTCTCCACACAGCCAGAATAATTTTCTATAAATCAGATCACCTGCCTCCCCTGCCCAAAACACTCCAAACAGCTTCTTATCACACCTAGAACGAAATCCATGTTTCCTGCAGCCAGAAGGCCAGCAGATCTGGGCCTGACCACCACACTGAACCCATCTCCTGTCACTGTGTATGCCTCACACTCTGCTCCAGCTACATTGATTTCTTTCTGCTCCATGTATGCACAGAACTCACCAGGCCCAGAGTCTGCAAATTCTCTGCCCTCTGCCAGGAAGGCCCTTCTTCCAGACCGTTGCTTCTTTTGATCCCTCAAGGCTCTGCTAAATTGTTACTTCCTCAGCAAGGTCTTTCCTGACCACCCAGTATAAACCAGCCACCCTGTCTCCTGCATACCCTACCCTCGTGAGCATTTATGTGTAGATTCATTTGATTTATTGCTTATCTTCTATCTCTCCTGCTAGAATATAAGGTCTGTGGGGGCAAGGACCTTGTCTAGAATAGCTGCAGGCATATAGCAGAAGTTTGCTAGATATATGTTGAATGAATGAATGAACAGGTCAGCCTCCCAAGGACAGAGGGGGAATGGGGTATGTGAGGGTGTGAATGATGCAACTGTATGCTTTTTTCCCTTTAAGAATGATTGATACTTCATTCTGTCCATCCATGGTTCCTAAAAACTTCAGAATAAAGTGACCTTCACACTCAAGGAGAGAACAAGCCATCCCAACGGGTCTTAGGACCAGCTCCCTTCCTCTCACACTGTTTTTTTCTAGAGGCTTGACGTTTCCGAGATCTTTTGGGTGTCTCCCAGGAGACAGGGACCCAAGTGCGCATCTACTTGCCCAGGCCATATCTACTGTAGAGCAGCATCTCCTAGGGCAGTCATCAAGAGGCTTGGAGCACCTTCAGTCTCTGCTCTCTCTACGTGCCCCATAACAAATCTACTTCTTTTATCCTCGCAACTTGACCCAGGAAGAGGTGAAAGTCTATATCCAGGGACTCCTGGAAAGGGAGAGTCGAGCCGTGGAACCAGTGGACACAGGGGCATTGGTAGGCCTGAGAGGCTGGAAACAGTGCTACTGTGTGATCTTTCTAGACTGTTCTCATTGAAAAATCCAAAATGAACTTCTCTTCCCAAGTCCAGAAATGATCAACACTCACACCTCCCTGCAGGGCATCCCCACATCCTTAGTTCTGGGAGAAAGTATAGTACTTTCAGAAGCAGTGGCTACATGCCAGCTACTGAGCTAAGTGCTTTCTGCAAGTTATCTCATTTAATTGGCATTCTGCTTTAGAGATATGCATTATCATCTTCCACTTTACACATGAGGAGATTGAGGTTGAGGGATATAAAGTACTTTTCTCCAATTCACGTGCTTTGCAGGTGGTCAGGACTATAATGAAAGTACTAACCACTATGTTATTTAGCCAATTTAAACCAATTTGGCCAATTTAAACCAGTTACCTACATAACTTTAAAAAAAAAAAACAACTCAGGTTTATTGAAGCATAATTTGCATATCATAAAATTCTCCTGCTGTACAGGTGCAACTCAATGATTTTTTTTTTTTATAACTTACAGACTTGTGCAACCATTACACAATCCAGTTTTATTTATTTATTTTTTTAGGTGAGGCAACCAGCCCTTGGTTGACCTCACAGATTGCAAGGACCTTGTCAGTTTACAATCCCTTATTTTTTTTTTTAATTTTTTGTGCCTACAGCACCTGGTCTTCCATTCAAGTACTAACCAGGCCCGACCCTGCTTAGCTTCCGAGATCAAACAGGATTGGGCTTGTTCAGGGTAGCATGGCCATAGACCACAATCCAGTTTTAAAACATCTCCACTATCCCAAAATATATCCTCCTGTCCACTTGCAGTTAATCCCCACACCTACCCTCAGTCCGAGGCAACTGCTGGTCTATCTTCTGTCTCTAAAAATGAAATCATCCTGCGTTATCTTTTATTTTACAAAAAGCTACGTTTGTTTTGTGGAGACCGTTTAGTTAATTCTCAAATTCAATTCAGAGGTGTACTTTGGATGAACACAAGAAGACAGGGATTGCACTTCCCACTTCTGCAGGAGGCCTGGAGGGAAAGTGTTTTTGTTTGTTTGTTTGTTTGTTTGTTTGTTTGTTTGTTAACTATTCCAGACTTCCGAGGACACAGACCTGAGAACTACCAGGCTGGGTTGGGGGAAATCATACATGTTGATTTCTCTATTCTTTTACTTCTTAAAACATGTGAAATAGCTGATCTTAATTTATGGGCTTCCAGTCCAAATAGTTTCAGGAATAGCTCCGTTTTAAATAAAATACAGAGAGCAAAATGAAGCCCTACAAGTCCAATTGAAAAAAAAAAAAATGTAATCCTAAGGGCCAACCTAAAGCCCCATCAGTCGTCCCCTTTCACCCAGTAAGGAAGCTGCTCCCTGCCAAGGGTAGCCGATAGCTAGGATTCCACTCCCTGTCATCCCCTCCCCTGAACTGCTCATTATGACTGTGAAAACTTGCAATATCAGCTTTCGCTCCAGACCCAAATCTTTCTAGGGATCTTGCTCTCTCACTTCTGGACCCTCCATTACTCCCTAAGATGCTATTCTCTGTGGCAAAGGCCCAAGGTACCTCCCCATGGTGGACACAAAAGAGGGAGCTGAACCGTTTCCTCTATCCCCCTCCCCTGCCAGCATCCCCGTTCCCCCGAACGAAATTCCTATTCCAACCAGAAGGAGAACAAAAACCTCTATTCCATGACCATGCTGCCCATTCTCACCCTTCTCATACCCACTCCTCTTCTTACTAGGAACAATTATTGGCACAAGTGGAGGGGTATAACCCAGCGAGGGGATGCTTTCCCTCCACAAAGATCTCAGGGGTGTCTTTTCTTTACCAAGACGGACCTGGAAACAAGCCAGTTTCAAGTTTTATTCACAAATTTCTCTGGTGCAAGGGCTTGGGGAAAGACTGACTAGAGGCTTAACAACAACAATAATGACAACCATAATAATAATAGCTAATACTTATGAAGCGTGGACTATGTGGCATGCTCTGTTTTACCTGTTTTTTTTTTCCTCGTATAATGCTCAGAATAACTCTTTAAGATCAGTAGTATTATTAGCCTCATTTTACAGAAAGCTATTAGTATTATTAGTACAGATATTATTAGCATAGAAATTATACAGAATTATTATTAAATTATTAGTAGCACAGACTTTTTATTATACTTTTATTAAAGTGTAGAAATTATTAGTAAAAAATACTATCAATACTATTATAGTACAGAAATTATTATTACTGCATTGCAAAAATTAGTACAAAAATAGTATCATGCTATTGTAGTATAGAAATTATTATTATAATACAGTAGTTATAGTACAAAAATGACATCGGTATTATTATTATAGTATAGAAATTATTAATACAGAAAATCATATCAGTTTTTATTGGTTCCATTTTTTAGAAAACTGAAGCTTAGAGAGGTTAAGCAAACTTGCCTAAGGTTATAGAGTTAGCAGTGGAGCGAGCTGAATTCACTCAGCTCTTAACCACTAAGCAATACTCACTCTCCCCACCACCAGTTGTCCCCACTGCAAGGGATGCGTGTGGGGAGGAGGAGGATTTGAGCTGGGACTATAACAAATAATCACAGTGACTGAAGGAGAAAGAACTCCAGGTACTTTCTGGTGACCTAGAACCAATAGGGTAGTGGGTAACTAATTAACCTGGGAAATATTCCCACATCCTGTGTTCAGGAGAAAAATCATTTTAAAAGTTAGAAATGAGTTGGAACAATGTTGCATTGAAGCTAAGCTTATGCAACAGGTATTTTTTGAATATAGATTTACACTAGACTTTTCATTTTGCTTTTGACAGTTATGTTGGATTATATTAGCTTTATAGTTACTTTATTCTAGGGTTTGTTTGGTGAATGAGCCCAAATCTCAGTCTCACAGGTCAGGGAGGAGCGTGGAAAGAGCTCAGGCTGGGAGTTGCTTTGGGAAGAATCTCTGGGGCAGCAGACGTGCTGGAAGAGAGGGGTTCTTTCCATGTGAGGTTGTGGGGAGCCCAGAGCTGGACTGAAGAGAAGAACCGGAAGAAGAAGCAAGAAGAACCTATTGGATCTGCAGCAGAAACAGAGTGGTATGTGTGCATCTTCCAGTAGAGACCACTGGAGTTTCTACTAAGGGAAATTTACAAATAGTTCAGCTGGGAGCATAATGAGGGGCATGAAATTACTGAGAGTATTAACGAGAATTTTTACAGTTCTCAAACTCAGCACAACTGCACCACTTCTCCTTCAAAGCAGAGGAAAGACAAAAGTATAGGAAATATTTTCATTCTGTCACCCTCAAAGGAGTGAAATCACCTCTCTCCACCAGAGG